GTATGTCTTCTTTGAAGAAATGTCTATGTAGATCTCAGACCATTTCTTGATTGTGTTGTTTGTTGTTTGTTTGTTTTTTATATTGAGCTGCATGACCTGTTTGTATATTTTGGAGATTAATCCCTTGTGGGTCACTTCATTTGCAAATATTTTCCCCCTTTTTGTGGGTTGTCTTTTTGTTTTGGTTGTGGTTTCCTTTGCTGTGCCAAAGCTCTTAAGTTTCATTAGGTTGAATTTTTTATTTTTGATTTTATTTTCATTACTCTAGAAGGGGGTCAAATAAGATCGTGCTGCAATTTATGTCAAAGAGTGTCCTGCCTATATATTCTTCTACACTATAAGTGTTTATAGTATCTGGTCTTACATTTATGTCTTTAATCCATTTGAGTTTATTTTTGGGTATGGTGATAGAGAATATTCTAATTGCATTCATTTACATGTAGCTGTCCAGTTTTCCCAGCACCACTTATTGAAGAGACTGTCTTTTCTCCATTGTATATTCTTGCTTCCTTTGTCATAGATTAGTTGACCATAGGTGCGTGGGTTTATCTCTGGACTTTCTATCATGTTTCATTGATCTATATTAATGTTTTTGTTCCAGTACCATACTGTTTTGATTACTGTAGCTTTGTTGTATTGTCTGAAGTCAGGGAGCCTGATTCTTCCAGCTCCATTCTTCTTTCTCAAGATTGCTTTGATATTTGGGGTCTTTAATGTCTCCATACAAATTTTAAGATTTTTGTTCTAGTTCTGTAAAAAATTCCATTGGTAATTTGATAGGGATTGCATTGAATCCATAGATTGCTTTGGGTAGTATAATCATTTTAACAATATTGATTCTTCCAATCCAGGAACATGGTATATCTCTCAATCTGTTTGTGTCAACTTTGATTTCTTTCATCAGCATTTTGTAGTTTTCTGAGTATAGGTCTTTTGCCTCCTTAAGTAGGTTTACTCCTAGGTATTTTTTTTCTTTTTGATGTGATGGTAAATGGGATTGTTTCCTTAGTTTCTCTTTCTGATCTTTCATTTTTACTGTATAGGAATGCAAGAGATTTCTGTGTATTAATTTTGTATTCTGCAACTTTACCAAATTCATTGATGAGCTCTAGCAGTTTTCTGGTAGCATCTTTAGGATTTTCTATGTATCCTGTCATGTCACCTGCAAACAGTGACAGTTTTACTTCTTCTTTTCCAATTCATATTCTTTTATTTCCTTTTCTTTCCTGATTACTGTGGCTAGAACTTCCAAACTATGTTGAATAACAGTGGCAAGAATGGGCTTCCCTGGTGGTGCAGTGGTTGAGAGTCCGCCTGCTGATGCTGGGGACACGGGCTCGTGCCCCGGTCCGGGAAGATCCCACATGCCGCGGAGCGGCTGGGCCCGTGAGCCATGGCCGCTGAGCCTGCGCGTCCGGAGCCTGTGCTCCGCAACGGGAGAGGCCACAACAGTGAGAGGCCCGCGTACCGCAAAAAAAAAGAGTGGCAAGAATGGACATCATTGTCTCGTTCCTGCTCTTAGAGGAAATGCTTTCACTTCTTCACCATTGTGAATGTTTGCTGTGAGTTTGTCATATATGGCCTTTATTACATCGAGGTAAGTTCCCTCTATGTTCACTTACTGGAGAGTTTTTATCACAAATGGGTGCTGGCTGCATCTACTGAGATGATCATATGGTTTTTATATTGCAATTTGTTAATGTGATGTATCACATTCATTGATTTGCCTATATTGAAGAATCTTTGCCTCCCTGGGATAAAATTCCACTTGATCATGGTGCATGATGCTTTTAATGTGTTGTTGGATTCAGTTTGCTAGCATTTTGTTGAGGATTTTTGCATCTACGTTTATCAGGGGTATTGGCCTGTACTTTTCTTTTTTTGTGATATCTTTGACTGGTTTTGGTATCAGGGTGATTATGGCCTTGTAGAATAAGCTTAGGAGTGCTCCTTCCTCTGCAATTTTTTGGAAATTTTCAGAAGGATAAGTTTTAACTCTTCTCTAAATGTTTGATGGAATTCATCTGTGAAGCCATCTGGTCCTGGACTTTTCTTTGTTGGATATTTTCTAAACACAGTTTCTATTTTAGTACTTTTGATTGGTCTGTTCACATTTTGTATTTCTTCCTGGTTCAGTCTTAGAAGGCTGTACCTTTCTAAGAACTTGATTTCTTCTAGGTTGTCCATTTTATTGGCATATACTTGCTGTAGTTGTCTCTTCTGATCCTTTGTATTTCTGTGGTGTTTGTTGTAACTTCTCCTTTTTCATTTCTAATTTTATTGTTAGTCTATTTCATTTATTTCTGTTGTGATCTTTATGATTGGTTTCCTTTTACTAACTTTGGGTTTTGTTTGTTCTTCTTTCTCTAGTTGCTTTAGGTGTAAGGTTAGGTTGTTTGAAACTTCTCTTGTTTCCTGAGGTAAGATTGTATCACTATATATTACCCTCTTAGAATTGCTTTTGCTCTGTCCCATAGGTTTTGGATCTTTGTGTTTTCATTGTCATTTGTCTGTAGGTATTTTTTTATTTCCTCTTTGATTTCTTCACTTATCCATTGGTTGTTTATTAGCATATTGTTTAGCCTCCATATGATTGTGTTTTTGTAGTTTTTTTCTTACAGTAGATTTCTAATTTCATAGTCTTGTGGTCGGAAAAGATGCTTGATAGGATTTCAGTTTTCTTAAATTTACTGAGGCTTGCTTTGTGGCCCAGCATGTGATCTATCCTGGAGAAAGTACCATGTGTACTTCAAAAGAATATATATTCCGATGTTTTTGGATGGAATGCTCTATAAATATCAAGTAAAAGTCCAACTGGTTTAATATGTCATTTAAGACCTGTGTTTCCTTATTGATTTTCCATGTGGATGATCTGTCCATTGATGTAAGTTGGGTGTTAAAGTTTCCCAGTATTATTGTCTTACTCAGTTTCTCCTTTTATGTCTGTTAGTATTTGCCTTATATATTGAGGTGCTCCGATGTTGGGTGTATATATATTACAATTGTAAGATCTTCTCCTGGATTGATCATTTTGTTGTGTCCTTCTTTGTCTCTTGTAACAGTCTTTATTTTAACATCTATTTTGTCTGATGTGAGTACTGCTACTTCAGCTTTCTTTTGATTTCCATTTGCATGGAATAACATTTTCCACCCACTCATTTTCAATCTGTATGTTTCTCTAGATCTGAATTGGGTCTCTTTAGACAACATATATCTTTTTGTTTGTTTTTTGTTTTTGTATCCATTCAGCCAGTCTGTGTCTTTTGGTTGGAGCATTTCATCTGTTTATATTATGGGCAGAGCTGTGTGGGCCCCGTTGGTTGTTTGGCCTGAGGTGACCAGGCACTGGAGCCTACTGGCTTTTGGGGGAGCTCAAGCCGATGACTACTCCCTGATACCTCCACCACCAGTGTCCTCGTCCTTAGAATGAGCTGTAGCCGCCTCCCACGTCCCCAGTAAACCCTGCAAGAATAGCAGGTAGGTCTGGTCCAGGCTCCTGTGAAGTTACTGATTTTTCCCTGGGTCCCAGTATGCATGAGACCTTGTGTGTACCCTCCAAGAGCAGTCTCTGTTTTCCGCAGTTCTATGGAGCTGCTGCAATCAAGCCCCGCTGACCTTTTAAGTCAAATGCTCTGGTGGCTCCTCTTCACAATGTCAGACCCCCAGCTTGGGAGCCTGACATAGGGCTCAGAACTCTCACACTTGTGGGAGAACTTCTGCAATGTAATTATTCTCCAGTTTGTGGGTCACCCACCCAGGGGTATAGGATTTCATTATATCATGAGTGCTCCCTTCCTACCATCTCATTGTGGTGTCCTCTTTATGTCTTTGGATGTAAAATATATTTTTGGTAGGTTACGGTCTTTTTCATCAATGGTTGTTCAGCAGTTATTTGTGATTTTGGTGTTCTCATGAGAGGAGGTGAGCTCAAGACGCCTCTACTCTGCCATCTTATTCCTTCTCTCCACATGGGCTTTCTTTGATCTTTTAAAATTATATTTCTTTCTTCTCTTCTAACTGTGTATTTCAAAATTCCCATCCTCCAAGTTACTTACTCTTTCTTCCACCTTGTCTGCCCTGCTTCAGATACTCCCTATTGCATTCTTCTTATCATTCATCGAATTTTTCAGCTGCAGGCTATCTGTTTGGTTCTTTTTTTTTAATTTCCATCTCTTTGGCAAATAACCCAATTAGTTCATATATTTTATTCCTGAATTCATTGAGTTGTCTTTCTGAGTTTTCATGTGACTCACTGAGCTTCTCACAACTGCTGTTTTGAATTCTTTATCACTTAGATCACAATATTCTGTGCCTTTGAGTATACGCTTGAGAATTATCAGTTTCTTTTTTGATGCTATTATTTCCCTGCGTGGTTATTTTCATTTTAGTTATGCAATGCTGCTTTCATATTTGAAGTAGTAGACATCACCTTCACTCTTTGCCTTCAGCAGATGTGGTGTTATGTTCTATGGTGTTATTATCTCAGTTTTTCTTCTGTACTTGTGAAGGATTATTTGCTCCTCTCTTCTTGCTTCCCTTTGTAGACAAAATTTTAAGCTTTTATCTTTTCTTTGGTCCTTACAATACACCAGGCTGACTTTTAAAACCCCTCTTTTGTTTTCCACTATAGACAAGTTTGTGATGTCCCTCTTGCCAACCATCATATCCTGTCTTCAGACCCCACTCCTCGTCTACCAGAACTTGTTCTCCCAGATGCACTTGGGAGCACACAGGAGCCAGTAGCAGAGTGGGACATGTGGGTTTGGCATTCGTGCCCACCTGGGTTGCCAGTGGACCTGGTAGGGAGATCCCTGGGGATGGTACTCCCAGAGGCTCATGGGATGACTTCCTGCTCAGCACAATCCCTTTAATATACCTTAAATTCTTATCCCCACCTTTTAGTACTAGAGGTGCTGGTGCAAAGAGATGGATTTCTCCGACCCTGACTGATCAGATGAAGTAGCTGGGTACTCACTCACTGCTTTTCTTTTCCCCTACAGGAGCGGTCACCTCCACCAGATAAATCATTCCCATTCAGTGTTTTCTTGGGGGAGGCCAGCACAGGAAAACTTTCTCTTACCATCTCTGCTGCAACCAGACTTGTATTTTTCTTTTACTTTTCCTTCCAGTGTTGTACTGGATTCTCCCCTCAGGAATGTCAGACTTCTGCAAGTTCTTCCATGGGTGAGTACCTGCCCAGCTCAGCATCACCTCATTTTTTGCTTGCTAGCAAACTGAGGAGTCTAAGCAGTTTCTCTGGCTCTGCTAATTCTTCAGCCATATAGAGGTTTTTCTGTTCCTACCAGCTTTGCTCAGGAGTGAATTTCCTCCCAAGTCCTTGGGAGTAAGGTGCTAGGTCCCAAGGTCCCGGATCCCAGGAACCTGGAGCCCAGAATGGAGTAGGGGAGGCAGTACTCTGGTCCATACAAGACCCCTTATTTCCACTGGGACTTCCTGGACCCTCTGTCATGTCTTCCAGGTGGTGGTGTAAACGAGGCAAAGCAGGAAAGGCAGCATCCTCCTTGCTTGTGTTAAGAGTCTGCAGCCTGCTGGTTTCTGCTTTGAGCTGTAGATGCAACAGGGGTAGCAGCTGGTGTAGGGATTGCAGCAAGTGTGTAAGCAAGTGCTTTCTAAGAGTTAGAGCAGACAGAGAGCTAGATATGAGCAGAGAAAAGGGGGGTCATGGACGGAGTGGCAGGAAACCATCCATCTTGTGAATGATGGGGGTTTTTGGGCAGACAAAGAAAAGCAGAAACCTCTGGACTGACAGGAAACCATATATCTGTCGTGACAGGGGTCCTAGAGGCAGACAAAGAATGGTGGCAAAAGGTGAGAATCCCTGGTGTTGGAATGTAACTTTTTGCTCATTACAATAAAATTAACCTTGCAGATAAGAAGTTCCCATCATGCACCAAGGCCGTGACTCTTCTAATCAAGACCAGATAAGAACAAAAATCCCTCCTCCCCTCAGGAAGGTGTAGCTGGGATAATCAGGAAATACCCCCCTCCCTCCCCAGTGAATATTCCACCCAAATGTTTTTAACCAGTTTGCCAAAGGAACTCAGGGCAGCTACTCACATGAGCCTGCTTGCTCTCCTTTCTGAGAGTGTATTATCGCTTAATACATCCTCACTTTGCTTTCTTGGCCTCCATGTCCTGTCTCTGAATTCTTTCTTCAATGAGACAAGAACCTACTTTCTGGTAATATAAGTGGCACAATGTTACATACACAAACACAAGGTTGGTTTTACCATCCTCTAGTTCAGAAGTCGTTCTTGACTGGCAGCGGGGATGCTGTGGAATGTGGGTGACGTGCAGACCTGATCCTACTACACCACTGTCACTCACCAACAGGTTCTGCTGTGGTTATGGACAAGATGATGGGTCATCTGAGAGGAAACCAGGCCACTACACTTCTCAACCTTGTGCTGAGGCCAGGCCCAGAGCCTGCTCTACTAGGTGCAGGACCCCTGGGGACTGAGGGATAAATATAAGACTGGGGGGAGGAGGGAATGCGGACCACACCTCCTGAAGAGGGTTAAGTGCATCCTTCGAGCAGCTGGAAGCACTGGAGGCAGAAAAATAACAACCTATTACCACTTGAAATAAAAGTCACTTCTGTATTTGCCCTAGGCCTGCCTTCCTAAAAACTACATTTGCTTGTCAAAAGCATTTGTATTTAGAAACATTTCAAACAAACATTAAAGTAGAAAGAATATATGGACCTCTCCTTACATCCACCACGCAGTTGCATAACTACCACATTTGCTTCATCTCTGTCCATTTCTTTGCTGAACTCAATCCCAAAGAAAATCCTAGACAACTTGCCATTCCACACCTACATAACTCAGGAAGGAGTTTCTAAAAAACATGGGCATTTTCTTACAGAATTTCAGGGCCTTGTCACATCCAACAATATTAACAGTAATCCTTGGTAGTGCTTAATGCCTGGTGCATAATTAAATCTCCATGATGGATGTAAATATATCTTTTTAGTGCTAGTTTTTGGATTTGGAATCTAAATAAGGCCCACTCAGTCCCCTTGCTGTCTGTACCTCTCCCCATGCCAGGGATGCATTCTCGTGGTATTTCTCTGGTAGAAATGAGCTCTAGAGTCCACTTTTGCTTTCTGTTTTCTAATCATCATTGTAGTTGAAGGACACTGCATTTGCTTGTTATTTACTCAGATGCTGTTTATAACTCAGAGGACAACATTCTTGTCCCTGGAAATGCCACACATAGAATTTGGGATGTTTCCCTTGTTGACTGAACCAACATTGCACAACCTAAAAGTGAAGAATTATGTTTTATTTGGTGGTCTTACTGAGGACTAATAGCCAGGAAACAGCCTCTCTGATAGCTCTGAGGAACAGTTCCAAAGGGGTAAAGGAGGAGCCAGGATATATAGGAGATTTTGTGGAAAAAAAACAACATGTAGTCGAACATCAAAAGATTACCGCTAATCACACAAAAAATGCAGACAATTCAAGTTAATAATTTTAGTGCTTTTCTATGTAAGGGCACATGCAAGAGTCTGGGCTTATTGAAATCATTCTTTTGATATGCATCTTAACTATCTAGGGCCAGTATCCCATTTTTCCCATTTTTCTCCATCCTGAATTCCCCTTAGGGTGCAGCTGCAGTGGCTGATCGCTTTAAGGTCCCAACATCCTTTGTTTACTGAAATCGCAGGTGACATTCTTTGTCTACACCCTCATGTGAGAAAAACAGAAAATGGATTCAGACCAGGTCTCCTGGGTTCTGTGGCTTCAGCAGATTTAGGAACCCTCTATGATTGGGTGTGAAATGTTGAGTGTGGCCTTTTCTTGGGTGGGGGTGGGGTTGGGTGGGGGATGTTGCTTAAAGATTTAATAAAATTCTCAAAGTCCCAGGACTTCCCTGGTGGCTCAGTGGTTAAGAATCTGCCTGTCAATGCAGGGGACATGGGTTCGAGCCCTGGTCGGGGAAGATTCCACATGCCGCGGAGTAACTAAGCCCGTGTGCCACAACTACTGATCCTGTGCTCTAGAGCCCGCGAGCCACAACTACTGAGCCCAAGCGCCTAGAGCCTGTGCTCCACAACAAGAGAAGCCACTGCAATGAGAAGCCTGTGCACCATAACAAAGAGGAGCCCCTGTTCGCAGCAACTAGAGAAAGCCCAGGCGCAACAACGAAGACTCAATGTAGCCATAAATAAATAAATAAATAAAATTTTAAATAATTCTCAAAGTCCCTTTGTTGAAGGAAAGGTAAGTGACAACTGGCTTAGAAGGGCACTCCCCCAAATCTTTTGAATGAAACAATTCTGGGATCTTACTGCCAAAGCAGAGAAGAAAAATGAGAAGACAGAAGTGGGAGAAGAAGGAAGGTAAGGACAGAGACAAAGACTGAGCAGAGAGAGAGAGAGTTATGGGGAAGGCAGGTTCTGTGACATAGCCCCTCAAAATGGGTAGAAGTAAAAACCTGATCTTAATACCAAGCCCCTTGCACCTGGTCTGTATTTTGAGTCCAAACTCAAATGGAGACTTCAGTGGGTAAAAACCAGCCCCAGGACCAAGGTCTGGGCAGGATCATTCAGGATTGGCCCATTTGGAACCACAGTGTCCAATGAAAGTCAAGGCCAAACTGATCATGCATCACCAGTTATCAGGCAGATTACTCCTATTCACTTTGCGTTAGTGAGGTGTAAACACCTCACCAGTTTTCATGTTGGATTGGTCTTAACAGTTTAGAAAAAAAAGAGAGCGTAATTCAAGTTTCTTAGTTTACTCATTTACGTGAATACTCATTAGGTCAGCTGGCCACTTAGTCTGCCAAGTAAGCGAGCAAGAAATGAACCATTTCACATTTTGAGCCATTATACATTTTGGCTCTGATACAGCAGTCTGACACCTCAACTCGCATAGAATTCAACTTTTTCTCCTGATATACACTTGGCTCTGGAGTATTTGTTTTTATCCTTTATGTGACAAAAAAATATCTGTAATACTGGAAACGGAATGGGAATGGAGGCAGGTAATGGGAATGGGGGCAGGTATCCAGCCATACAGGAAAGCACGGGGAAGCATGAACACCTCTTCCCCAATCCATCTTCAACTCTTCACTCCTTCTTTCATTTCTTCCTCCACCCACAGCTCTGATCACTTCTGGTTTGGGAAGGACAGCAGTGCATTGCCAGGAACAGCCTAGACAGAAGGGTGGGTGGCAGTTCTGGAGAGGGGAGGGACAGTGAGCCTGGTCTTCCCAGGTGCTTACCTGCCCTGTGCTGCAATCCCAGATACCTCTCTCTTCTCCTTTATTCTCTTGCCCTTCCTCTCACTCTCCACCTCAAGTTTCAGAGACGTTGCCACAGGCCTGTTGTGTCACCATGCAGGTATATCTCTGCTCCTCCCCAGGGATGGCCTCCACTGACGTTCACTTCTGTGATTCTCATGTCTGGAAGTTCCTCCCAGGCCATGTCATCAGTGTGCTCTGTGTCTTAGGTCAGCTCTTCCCTATCCAGTAGCCATCCAAGCATTGATTTCTTGAGGGAAATTTAGACAAAATATCACCTGCCATTTCAGTAATCAATGAATGTTGCAGCTACCACGTCATCAGCCTCCACAGCCAATCTGGATGGTGCGACCTGAGAGGAACTAAGGATGGAGGTAAACAGGATACTGGCCCTAGATGGTTAAGGTGCATATCAAAGGATTAATTCAATAAGCCCTGATTCTTGCATCTTCCCATACAGAGAAAAGCACTAAGTTCATTAGTTAGAGGTGTCAGATTGTCTTTAATTAACAGTAATCTTTTCATGTTCAGACTACCTGTTTGGGGGTTTTTTTTGTTTGTTTGTTTTGTTTTGTTTGCAAAAACTCTTATATATCCTGGCTCCTCCCTTACCTCTTCAGAACAGTCCCTCTGAGCTATCTGAGAGGCTGTATCCCAGGCTAAAATCCTCAGTAATGCCCTACATAAAATATAATTCTCAGCGTTTACATTGTACATTCTTTTTTAGTTGACAGAAATAGCTAAGAGCTCAGCACTTGAAAATGGTTTCTTTTGCACCTTGGTGAGTGAGTGAGTGTGTGTGTGTGTGTGTGTGTGTGTGTGTGTGTGTGTGTGCATGTGGTCACCTGTGCTGATGGGGAACTGGAACTGCGCCAGTGGAAATGGGGTTAGGGTGACACAGAGACTGAAGG